TCCCAGGTACTAGGTAATACCTGGATCTCCCTGGTATGAAAAGAGACTTGAAGAGCTGAGTGTAATGCTCGCTTTGATCACTGCTTGTAGCTCATCGGTCAGCGTTGGGCCACGAATTCTAGCCTCAGCTGACAGAGGGGGGCCCCAGGTTCCCCTGTTACCAGTAGTGAAACAGAAATTGCTGGTAACAAAACACGACTCAATAATTTCATTATGGATCTTTAAGGGAAGCACATTCTTGACAGAATAATCCCGTTATGCCTTATTATAGCGTCAAGGAAGTGTGTTAGTGCAGTGTTGGAGTTAAGGGGGAGGGGGACTACTGTAAGGGCTGCACTAGGATTTATATATCACAGGGTTATATTTAATTGGAGTTACAGTGCCCTGTGCAGCTATTTCACCTTGCCATTCAGGAGTAAAACTCCCACTCTCAGGCAGTCCTTGACATGCATTTCTGTGCTGTGCCCAAGATCAGGGCACCCAGACTGCAAAGAGGTACTCCATGCATTATCAACCATTGATTATAGATAATAATTACATGCTTGCTGTCACTGTACATGCATTATGGATTTTGTGTAGCCTTTGTAATATTTCTAACTACTTAATGATGTTTATGTCTTCTATGTTAAAATCCTTCTAACGTCAAAAAAACACAATACCTTGTTTAGGTTGTCTGGAAGGAATAATGCTACATATTTGCCCTATTTAAGACATATACACCTGCATCCTTGAGGAAAGTAAGTAAAAATGCAGGATAATGCAGAAATGTAATCCTCGGTTTAATATTTTGGATAAGCTTTCCCTTTTTTTTTTTAAATATTAAAATATCGAAAAGCATATCATTTCAAAATATATAAAAATACTGAAATATGAAATATTTTTCAAAATATGAAATAATTTGAAAAGCTATCCATAAACCTTTCTTCCTTTAGACTTCTTGTAGTACTCCAAATCAGCGTGACAGTAAGAAATTCTATTTTTTGTTTTGTTTTGTTTTTGCTTCAGATTTTGCTGTTGTGTCCCAGACAAAAATCAGCTCCACTCTTACTTTTTTAATCTTTTTTTTTGTATTAATGCATTTCAGAAGTGATGCCAAGTGTTTAAATAACTTATGTTTAAAAAGAAAAATAGTCAGATTTTTTTTAAAAAAAAGTTGTTTAGCTAAAATGTGTGATTTTTAAAAAAATTAGTTTGTCATGGAAATTTAGAATTAATTTGTTAACAGCCTGATCTTCCATGTTCCTGATGTGAAACTGCTACTGTATCCATGACTTCTCTGTACCACCAGAAACCTCCAATAGCTACCGCAGCAATCTAGTACATCAGAACTACTTGCCCTGCAGTCTGAGTTTCTTCAGTGATAAATAAATAAATAGCTTTCCCAACCCACATATTGGTCAAGGTTTAATGAAGGGACGATAGGTAGGATATTTACACAGTCCAGCATGTTATATAAAGGGGAGACGAACCTGTTAGTGACTATATTGACACAGTGGGAACCAGGGCCGGACTGGGAAAAACATTTGGCCTGGGCATTTTTAAATCACAGCAACCCACTGAGAAAGGGACAAGGCCAGAGAAGGGTGTTTTGCCATCACCAATGACAAGCACGCCCTCTTGCTTGTGAGCATGTTAGTTCAATGCTCTTCCAGGGCAGCCCATGTAGAAGAGCTCTAGCATAAGAAAAGGGCCATGTATTTGTTCTGCACAGAGCAAGCAAATATCTTAACATGCTTGTGTTGTGTTTGCTTGTGACTTGACTCTAGTGTCTATAAGTGGGACACTTGTCCAGAAAAGCATAGTGTGCATTTGTTTGGGACCTGTTTGTGGGATTGTGTGTGTAGTGTGAGCTGATTGTGGTAGTGTGTTTTTTGTGAATAGATCAGTTTCAGTTGTGTAGTGTTTCCAAGAGGAACCCAACGGAACTGCAGGCTAGAGGCTTCTTCCATCACAGTTAAGTTCCTGAGGGCCAATGAGTGAGATCCATGATCTCCCTACTGACCCTCGTGGCACATAGTAGGACTGTCACATGGATACCGCCGGCCAAAAGGAGATCTTCCTCTGATCTTCACTGTCAGCCTCGGCCCATGGCAATCGCAGCCCACCAAGCATTTGCATGGTTTGGCCGGTGGCAAATACGGGCCTGGTGGGAATCAGTCCAAGTACTTAGCAAGAATGTCTGGACTATGCTGAGAAAAGGGTAGTTAATTCCTTTAAGTGTATGAGAGAAGTAAGATAAGTGAGCTAATTGTAATTTAAAGATACCCTTTGTTAACTTACATCATAAGCTATATACTTTGCAAAGCTCAAGTACTATTGTCACTAAAACGTGTGAGCACATCAGCATGCACAGTAATGTCAGTGGACAATTGTGACTTTGCTGCCCTGATCCTGTGCTACAAGGCTGGGTAGCTCCCTTTTAAAACTCTTTGGGCCAATACAAACCATTGTGTGGAAATCTATTCACAAGCCGGACTTTACATAGGACACGAGGCCATGCGTTTAGACTGGAAGAAAGAAGATTTCGCCTAAGGCAAAGGAAAGGTTTTTTTACTGTAAGAACAATCAGGATGTGGAATTCTCTGCCTGAGGAAGTGGTTTTATCAGAGTCCATACAGATGTTCAAACGGCTACTAGATGCATACTTGCAAGAACAGAATATTCAAGGATATAATCTTTCAATGTAGGGTAATAACTGCTTGATCCAAGGATAAATCTGACTGCCATTCTGGGGTCAAGAAGGAATTTTTTTCCTAGCTTGTTGCAAAATTGTGCTTCAAACTGGGTTTTTTTGCCTTCTTTTGGATCAACAGCAAAAAACATATGTGAGGAAGGCTGAACTTGATGGACGCAAGTCTCTTTTCAGTTATGTAACTATGTAACTATGTAACTATGAAGTGTAGCAATGTGTTTCAGAAGGGCATTCAGTGAAAGGTGCACTCGTGGTTGGCCATACTGGCATTTCAAACCGTAAAACATGGAGGTAATTAACTCTTTACTGCCACATGACATAAAATACCCCTTTGAAAAATTTACTTTTTTCCCATTGTGTTAACCTTTTGTGGTCCACAGTTGTCTTCAAAAATTTGAACATTTTAGATGAAAGTACGCATTGACCCTTAAAATACCACCCACCATTTCAAACAGTTGAAGAGGGATATGTTAATTTCAGGAGTGTGAGTTAGGACCTGGTTAGGAGTATGGTTTTCTGAGAAATTCTAGGTGGCTTACTAATAGCAATTCTTGCCTATAATTTCATTGACAATAAGAGCAATATATCTGATTTACACTAATTGATTTTTAATACCATTTTGTAGTTTAAAGACACTTACTATAAATATTATTGCTGTGGAGCTCTGTTATACACACCAACAATATTAAGATACTAGAAAATAGGGACATTATGATAGAAAAGAGTGACACAAGGATTTGGGCCTAAAATAGGGACTGTCCCTCCTAAATAGCATCTCCCTTTCCTATTTCAGATTGGGACTTATATGCATGCCTCACATTTCCAACTGTAGATTAGTGAATTCCCCATGGGTACTGCACTCGCAATTGGCAGCCAGTGTTAGGCTGAGAGCATCAGTTTTATCCTGTCATTGGTGACCAGTGATTCTCAATTGCCCAGATGCCCATGGATTCCAAGTCCCACAACAAATTCTGCAGATTAAGTTATTTTAAGGGAAGAAAGTATGTTCAAAGATTTTAATTAACGGCATCAGCTTACAATATTGGGGGAGTACAACTTTTTTGCAGTAGCAGTAGCAGGGGTTGCCAAACTGTATACCCAGAACTGTATTTGTTGAGCTGCTCTCATTATAATGAACATTTCAGTTCTATTACAGCTAGAATAATATATTATTGAACTATCCCATAGTGAAGGTGACAAAAGGACAATTCACTGGGTTCTAAGTAACTTAGGACATAAGGAGAAGACAGAAGAGAACTATGCATCTCCTGGCACAACCATACTAAAGGACTGAGAATCCCTCTGCTTGGTATCTATTTTTTACCACAAGCCAAGGAAAATAGAATGTTCAGGTGTGTTAATGGAGGGACACCTGTTGTTGTATCCCCCACCTGCTGTAAATGGATTGAGTGCATGAGTGGCTAGGGGAGTATTCTAATTATTTCTTCCCTTACCTCTTTTTTTTTTTCTAGGATTAAATAGCCCAAGGGTAAGATGCATTGCTAGGGCATTTAGGGGGCTCAAGTTGGTATAGGGGCTTTAAGATACAAGTGTGTTGTTTTTTGTTGTTGTTGTTTTTTATATCAGACAGACATTAACTCACAAAACAACATAAAACATTAAGCATTATGCATGGCCCACTCCATGAGATAGGAGATTGGTGCTGTGTATAGAAGCTGAGCTGTACTGCTTTCCTATTATTTGGTAGTGTGTCTTGGTAGGATTGCATATTAGTAATTGCAGCATATTCTTTTTTCTTTTTATTGACATCCCGATACACTTCTTGTCAAGAGGCAGTAATATATATCCTAGGTTGGAGACTTAGAGTAGGCATAACCAAACTGCAGGGTTTTCTAGAAGCTAGAAACGTCCCTGCCAGGGAGTCAGAGTCTGATCAGAAGAAGGCTGAAGGGCAAGTTGCAAAAAAGACAAAGACAGGTGGGAAAATAACCCATCAAAAGAAAAAAGATAAGATGTTGTTATGAGTCGCTCTCTTTGGTAGCCAGCTGGCTAGAGCACAGAAGCAGTCACACCTGGCTTTCTCATTTCATCTAAAGATGGAGTCCATGTGTACAAGGCCATTAGGGTTGTAGGACAGCTGGGGTCAGCACATCTTAAAGAACATAGAACATGCATTGTAAATTTTAATTTTTGTCTTTAAAACTCTTGAAATCTATTTTAGGCTCCAAGTTTTTATTAAAATAGTGTGAAATCAAGGAAGTCTATTTTGTGTTGTTTTAGACCAAGCTCATGTGTTAGTGATGTCCCGAACTGTTCGCCACGAACGGTTCGCCGCGAACTCCGGTCAGCAGACACATTCCAGCCAATCAGCAGCAGACCCTCCCTCCCAGACCCTCCCACCTCCTGGACAGCTCACTAAGAATACAGCTTCAAAATGGATGCTGTCCAGGAGTTGGGAGGGTCTGGGAGGGAGGGTCTGCTGCTGATTGGCTGGAATGTGTCTGCTGACCGGAGTTCTTGGCGAACCGATCGTGGCGAACAGTTCGCGAACAGTTCGGGACATCACTAGTCCCTGTCAGTTTCCAAAATCAGACAGAAAAGGCAAGGGCCGCTCTGTCACATTCTTTAATCACATTTTTAGTTGTGGTAATGCTCCCTCTACAACTTGTAATGTCAAGAGCTTAAACAACTTATATTTAAAAAGAAAAAAATACTCAGACATTTTTTTTTTTTACCTAACATGTGTGGCTCTTCAATTACTTGGTCAGGTGGGAACATTAGAATTAATCAGTTAATAGCCTTCTATTACATCGTGCAAACAAAAAAAGGCCTTCTGTAGCAACTGGTAATTTTGCTAAAAGGTGCTCACAGTTCCTGTTCAAGCTGCCACATGATTCTAGTGTGAAATGGTAAGGTTTGGTTTCACTTCCCTCCTGGCTCTGTTCTAGAAAAGAAGGGCTGCTAATAGCAAGACCAGATTGTCTTCCTGTTTGAATTATTTCCCACTCAGCACTAGCATTATCTCAATGCTTGCAGTGCTGTTTGAGTAGCAGTTTATTTGTATAGTATTCGTTGTTTGAATCTATATCTGTATACACAGAGTCTACTTTGATCTAAAATTTGTCTACAATTGTTGTTGCCTAGTAGCTAAAGATCAACCTTTTTAATTTAATAAAATCTGGCATTGTTTGTAGCTCTCTTGCTACAATCTTCCTTTCCAAACACACAAAATTATCCACTAAAATCCCAAAGTTATTCACTAAAATCCCAAAGTTATTCACTAAAATCCAAATGTCCATTGGCTTTGCTCCTTTCCAGGTACTATTCAGAAGCTAGAAGTCAAATGGTTAAAAAAAAACATCAGCAGTACAAGGGTTATAAATGTGATAACAATACCAGTCGTCACATAGCCCAGTCTACTATGGAAGTGAATATCAATATAAGAGGTATCTATCTTTTATCCTCCCATCCATAGTCTGGGGTGGGAGGTTAGTACATAAATAAAAGTAATGATGCCTGTTCCATTATCAGTAGTCAATTAAATGAGGTGAAGTGTGATTGGGCTAGAGCTTTTAAGCCAATCATTGAGCCTTGTTGAAAGCTTTGTTTTTGGTGGCCATTTTTGTAGATTTTTTACCACATATTTTTAATAGTGTTTTATTTTCTTGTATGTTTGTATCAAATGGAAGAAGAGAGGGAAACAAAGAGTGCAAACTTTGGAGTACCAAGGGCAATTTTTTTCCATATCTCAGTATGGGAAGCCAAATAATACACCTAACTGTAATAGGTCTGTTATCCCTATGATGCTAAGTCAGCCTTAAATGAACATTCCGTACCCCATAACCCTTAAAGCGCTCTCGTATACTTATGGTGCCAGGAGTGCCCTTACACCTCCACTGTAAGTTGCAAAACTGTTTTAGACAGATTTCTTACTTGGAGTCCACCAAGTGCTGCTCCCCACCTCCACTACAGCTGACATAGAGCCAGCTGATAAGCCCTGCAGTATGAGAGACTCAGCTGATTGCTCTCAGCCAATGAGATAAGACCTACACCGCTGCAGAGAACTAAGACAGAGAGCATCCAATTCTCTGTCAACTGTAGTGGAGAAGAGGAATCCCAAGTAAGGAATCAAACAACTCTAAAATGTTTTTTTTTTTCTACTTACAGTGGGCAGGAGGGTACCAGGCACTCCTGGAACCATAATCTTTGCGGTGTAATGAAGCTGTTATGGTAATTGGAGTGTTACTTTAAGGTTTGTGCCAAATTTATACAATTTGATTTTACTAAAATATACTTCCATTTCAATCCTGCCTATAAAAGTAATACCTAAACACAAACATGAAGCAGCGCTTTAACTGAGGTATGCATATTCAGTGCATATTACCAGTACTTGTCTAAAAGAGCACAGCCACTCTGCCAATATGTTTCCTAAATCGAAGTGCAGTTTGCCAACCAGCTCTGCATACTGAACATTTTCCGGAATTTAAATATTATTTAATCTCTGAAGGAACCCAGAATAAGTGGGATGTAGACATCATACATTCCACCACATGTTCCATAAAAGCAGAGCAGCTAATGAAAATGAAAACCAGAGAATATTGTCATTACATTTACTGTATTTTTTAGATAGAAATGTAAACCAAAAAAAAAAAAAGGATAGGAAGTGGGAATCTATATATAAATATACAAGAATTAGATTTTCCAGTTTAATGTTATACAAATAAAACTGATTTACTTTATCTATTTTCTTTTTAATCCAAATTCCACCTGCTTTTAGGCTTGGCAATTTAAAATACAGAAATTCCTCAGAGTTTTTCTATAATAAGTGAAAAGGATGCATTCTACTTGCTGTACATGTGTTTACACTAGAGATGAATTTCTGAGTAATAACAATAAATGCATCCCTTTTTGGTTCTCTCGACTTTAATATATTTTCTTTTAGATTATTGCTGCTGTATAAGAAACACAGCATGTATTCCAAATGCAAGATCAGCCGATTGAAGGAAGCTAAGTACTATATGTGTCATTACTGGCAACCTCTGGCTGTGCTGTGCGCACTTTATACTAAGTGATAACGGTGAAGGATACGTTTCAAGGCTTGCAAATAAATGTTAAAGAACCATATTAATTTCTAAAAAAACATTTTGGTAGCATGTATATGAAATATATCAATCAATAGTTCATTAAGGGTCATTCCAGGAACCAAAAGTGCAATACCCCTCCTTCTATCAAAGGGGAACATGAAAGCTTAGTCAGTTCCCAGTGGAACCTTGTTATTAACAGAATAGTTAGAGTAATCTGCCACTCAGCTTCAACAGAATACTTAGTTGTCTCCCAGGTGCTAGAGTTTGGCATGAAAAGATCGTAAAGAGATCCTGGAGATGCCCCAGCTGTTAATATCTAATGATACCAACGACAAAGTCAGTAGAAGAAGGAGATTCCTAAAGAACGAGTCTTAGATTCAATAATCTCAGATTCTATCGAAGTCAAGTTACACAATGGAGAGGTAGCACTACATCAAGGAGTTCAAAAAGTGACTAAAATTGTTGTGGAAGAAGGAGGATTTAAAGCAGCACTATCATGTTGAACTAACCTTTCCTCAATCTCTTCCTCTTCTCACCCTCTCTCAGGATCTGTTCTTCTTTTCTTCCTGTCTTCTTTAGTTTTCTTTAAAAATCATAAGACAAAGTAGGGACTCTTTGCCTTATGGAGGTTTCCTCCGCTTGACCAGCGGAGGAGCAAAGTGTACTTCATTTCCGCTGGTCAGAGCAATTTTCCCATGATCCTGAGCTTTCCTCTCTGTTCCCACGATGCTTCCTGTAAGTAATGCCGAACGTCCTGTCACTTAGACAGAACGCGGACAAAACTGCCGAATTGCATCCTAACAGAATGAGAACAGTTTCTCCATTCGTGTTAGGATGCAATTCAGGACTTTGTTCGGATCGCAATTTCATTCGAATGAATGAAACTCCGATCCTATTCATGCTGTGACTGCATCTTGCAGCCGCTTAGGAGATAACTCCCTAATTCCCACGGTATTAGGGGGCTATCTACTAAAATGCTGAAAGACCTAAATTGGTCTTTCAGTCAACTTTACTAATACTAAGTAAAGATTACATAGTATTGGTAAATTCTGCCCCTACTCGCTATACCGCGAGTAGGGGCATGTCTATTAAACAGTGAGCATCCTGCTGGAATTTCCCCACGCTGTGTAAAATGACAAAGAGCACTCTGATTGGCTTAAACCAACCAATCAGAGTGTTCTTAGCCAAATTGCAAGGCAGGGCAAGGCTTTATAAGCCTTCCCCCACCCTGCAGAGCTCAGTCTGCGCAGAGCCCTCCATGGGTGAAGATGGATTAATTTTTTTAGCGTTGGGTTTTTTCTTTTACGTCTGGATTTTTTTTGGCACTCAGGTTTTCTATTTTATTTTAAGTTCGACGGATATGATGGCTTTTTATTTGGCCTTTTTTGGGGCTGAAAAATTAAGATTTTAGAAAAAAGAAGACATCAAATGGTAACTTTAATTTTTGTTTACAGGTTAGTTATTTTATTCCCCCTCGCTATTTTTAGGGTGAGGGGGGATAGGTAGGGGATAGTTTTATTTGGGTGGGTGACTAGGGGCTTGGGACCCCTAGTCACCTCAATTGGGGGGGTGAATTTTTATTTAGGGCCCTCACCCACCGCTCAGGGGTGGGGGCCAGGGGGGGAGGACAGTAGGTCCCCCCCCAGCATTCTTATATAGGGCCCCCACCCACCGTTCAGGGGTGGGGGCAGGGGGGAGGACTGTAGGTCCCCCCTTATTGTTTTTTAGAGCCTCCACCCACCGCTCAGGGGTGGGGGCCGGGGGTAGGACAGTAGGTCCCCCCCCCTTATTGTTTTTTAGGGCCCCCACCCACCGCTCAGGGGCGGGGGTCAGTGAGGGAGGACAGTAGGTCCCCCCTCCTTATTGTTATTTAGTAGTTTTTTTTTTAAACAGTGAAGAGCCACAAGCTGCTTACTGTTTAGTGAACATGCCCCTACTTGCAGTATAGCGAGTAGGGGCATTGAGGAGATTTTAATCTAATCCATAGAGTGAGGGGGGACCTGGGGGGCTTATGAAGTGGCGGGGAGCACTGCTCCCTGATGCTTCTATCTTTACATATTACAAGGAGGGAGCTGCGCGCCAGTAGCTCCCTCCTTGTAATAAACTGAACGAACAAACGAACACTGATATTCAGTGTTTGTTCGTCTGACAATGCTACTCATTTATTCGTCTTTCTGACGAATGGATGAATAGATGAAATTCCCGTTCGCATGCCCAAGTGTTTAACTGGGCATGTGCGGGAATCTCACAGTTTGTCTAGTGTGGGCAGGTGACGTGTCCCACAGGGACTTCCTCTACCCACACAAAGATGGCGGCGCCCTGAATGTAGATCAGGGCAGAAAATAAAGATAAAAAATAGGTAATATGGGGGGCTTAGGGGCATTTGGGGGTGACTAGGGGGTCAGTTAGATGTAGTGGAGG